TAAGGATTTGATGTCAGATTTCAGAACAGAATCTGGTTGCATGCTGTTCATTCAGAACCTGTTGAACATGTTTCTGGATGAAAAACATGCTACCGAGGAACCTTCAGATCAGAGTCAAACGACAGATGACAATTCAGAGATAGGTTCTGTTGAAGACAAGGATTCCGTTGGAACCATGGGAAATTCTGATTTTTTGAAAACATGGATTGTGGAATCCCTCCCTAGTATATTGAAAAATTTGAAACTGGATCCTGAAGCAAAGTTTAGGGTCCAAAAAGGAATTTTGAAGTTTCTAGCAGTTCAGGGATTGTTCACCGCATCCCTTGGGTCTGAAGTAACATCCCTTGAATTACAAGAGACATTTAGGTGGCCAAAAGCTGCCACCTCAAGTGCCCTTTGCAGGATGTGTATCGAGCAGCTTCAGTTACTGTTCGCAAACTCTCAGAAAGGAGAGGGGCCACGTCCTTTGCCAAATTGCATAGAGCAAATTGACCTTGGCTCATACTTTATGCGCTTTCTTTGCACTTTGTGCAGTATTCCTTCCGTCTCTTATTTTCGGCCTCTGGAAATTGAGGAAGAAAACACTTTGAAAAAATTGCAAGCAATGGAAACTTCACTCGCAAAAGAGGTACTTTCTTTTACCGTTTTCAGTTCCACGTAATTATTGGTGAGGTACTTTCTCGAAAGAGGCTTCACTCCACGTAATTATGCATCTGATCAACTTAATTTACTTTTGATCTCAACGTGGGTTTCAAATTTTAGATTGTAATAAGTTGGATATGACCACAATATGTCATAAAACATGAAATCAGTGAGGTTTAAAATTAGGGGATGGTGTTTCTGATGCGTTATTTCCTAGTAAAGGCCATTTTTCTTGTTGTTTTCACCCAACTCAAGATAGGTTTGATTCTATTGATGCCTTATTCAGGGGTCTTATAAATGGTGTGGTCCTGCCTTCTAGGCCATCTTCAGTAGAACTACTTTGAACTCAAGTTTAAGATTTTCTCTTTTATTCTTTCAGTTTCTTGGTTGTACTGTCCTTTCCATGTTCTTTGGCATGACATGAAGCTTCTTGAATGCTTCAATTGCAGGAAAGGAATTGTGGGCTTAGTAGTGATGCAAATAGGTTGCATGCACTAAGATACTTGCTCATCCAGCTGCTTTTGCAAATGCTCCTTCGACCAAAGGAATACTTAGAAGCAGTCTCCGAGCTTATTATATGTTGTAAGAAAGCTTTTCCTGTTGCTGATCTTCTTGATTCCCCTGGAGAAGATGACTTGGATGATGATGGTGCACCTGCCGTGATGGATGTTCTTGTGGATACATCGCTTTCTTTGCTGCCACAGTCATCAGCTCCCATGCGAACAGCAATTGAGCAGGTGTGGTGAATGTTCTTGTGTATACTTGAATGATTGTACAGATATGCTATGTTGGAATGTTAGGAATTTGTTTGATATTACAATGTTTTGAATTTTATTTATGTAGTCGGACAATTTATATCTGAATGATAATCATATGCTTTCACTGATACTTTACTGGAATTATTCTTTCTAATTCTGTAATTTGATTAGTTGGGGTGTTGAATTATCTCTTCTGATGCTAGAGTAATATATTTCATGCTGGAGTTACATTATTACATACCAGATTGATGAACTAGAATACTGCAATGCATATATATTTAGAAATCTCCCTGTATCTGCATGTACATGTGCACGCGCGCGCACGTGTGGACGTTTAAAGCAAAACCTAAATGAAGTTAAAATTTATGTGACTAATTATCTGGAGTCCATGTCCTGTAGGTATTTAAATATTTCTGTGGTGATATCACGGATGATGGTCTGTTGCGGATGTTGAGGGTCATTAGGAAGAATTTGAAACCTGCTAGACATCAAGATGCTGATAGTGACGACATTTTTGACGATGAAGAAGATGATGAAGAATTTCTTAACATTGAAGAAGATGAGGGAATTGATAAAGCTGAGACAGGTGAAACCGGTGACAGTGATGAACAGCCAGATGACTCCGAGGCTGACTCTGAGGCTGTTGATGCATTTGAGGCAGTTGGCAAAGAAAGTCCTGAAGCTTCTGATGATTCTGATGGAGGAATGGATGATGATGCAATGTTTCGAATGGATACTTACCTTACCCAGATCTTCAAAGAGCGAAAGAATCTAGCTGGGGGTGACACTGCCCATCACCAACTCATGCTGTTTAAGCTTCGTGTTCTTTCATTGCTAGAAATTTACCTACATGAAAATCCAGGCAAGTGTGTTGTATTCAAATTAGTTGAGATACAAAATGGCGTACAACAAGTTTTGCAAGCACGAATTTAAAAATATATTTCTTCCATCTAAAAATATATCCCTTGGAACTTTTTGTCATTTTGTATTCTAACTTTTCCCTTTTGTATTTGTGGGCATGGTTGACTCAATTAAACAGGCAAGCCGCAGGTTTGTTGGTGTACTCAAACTTAGCTCGGGCATTTATTGACCCACCCAGTGCAGAAAGTAGCGAACAGCTAGGACAGCGTGTATGGGGGATACTGCAAAAGAAAATATTTAAAGCAAAGGACTATCCGAAGGGTGAAGATGTGCAATTATCTACTTTAGAATCTTTGCTGCAAAAGAATTTGAAGTTGGCCTCAAAACCAATTAAGAGAAAGAAATCCGCAACCAACCTGTCCAAGAAGAAACAGTCAGCCTCGTGGAACCGACACAAAATGATTACTAGCCTTGCACAGAGCTCCACTTTCTGGATTCTGAAGATTGTTGAAGCAAGAAATTTTCCAGAGTCTGAGCTGCAGAGGGTTTTTGATATTTTCCAGGGAGTTCTAGTAGAGTATTTCAATAGTAAAAAGTCTCAAATCAAATCTGGATTTTTGAAAGAAATATTTAGAAGAAGGCCATGGGTAGGGCACCATCTCTTTGGCTTCCTTTTGGAGAAATGTGGCACTTCAAAGTCAGATTTTCGGCGAGTAGAAGCACTTGATTTGGTGAGTGAAATATTGAAGTCCCTGGGCTCTACTGATGGAAGTAGCCAGGAAGCGCTGAAGAATATTATGAAAAGCCATCTGGAGAAACTCTGTCGTCTGATAGAACAATTGCTGACAAACAAATCAGAAAAACAGTCGAGGCAGGCTGAAGCACGGAAGTTTTGTAGCAGGATTCTTCAGATGATAACAACCCTTAAGCTGACCAAGTCTTTCCTCAAAAATTTATCCCCAGATGCTCATGCCAAGTGTGAATCGCAACTCGGTGCCCAATTTACTAAAATGAAGACAGTAGCACATGAGTGAAACTTGTTGAGCTCATGAATGAATTATTTTTCGTATTTATGTTAAGGGAAGCTTCTTTCAGTCCCCAAACAACAATACTCGGAAGCAGTTTGTGGTAATTTCAATCACTATTTTTGACTTTTGGCACAAGGTTGAGCTGATGCTCTTGGACATCACTTTCTTGAGGTAGGTACGTATTATAACTTGAAAGAACTTTCAGTTGTTCAAACATTTTTTAAGTTTTAGTGTGATTTCGTTTAGTAGTTGTTTTACTTTTTTTCACGAATAGTTTTTTCGGACGGGAAGAGTTTAGGCGATAGCAGAGAATTATGTACTTCGAATACTCAGATTTCACTTATTTTTATACCGTAGAACCTTGCGGTACTTGAATTCCCCAACTTCTCTTGTACTGTAGTAGTTCATAAGTACATTTTTTTCAAGTGTATGCTGCATGAAGTGCTGAGCTGATGGGTCTATTTTATGCACGTCACGTTTTGAGTGATGACGTTTTCTGTTTTGGGGGCTGCATTTTGGATTTGAAGACTATGAAATAAACAGATTGGGACCATTTGAAAAGCGAACAGGATTTTGACATTTCGTAAAGTTTAGAATTCATTTTCCTCTGTTCCATACAACACCAGATGGAGACGCTTTTCCCAAGTCCAAAAAATGACCTGAAATTGAGGTCAACAACAGCATAAAACTGAATCAACAAGACTTGGTGGAACCACTGTTCTGAGTTTCTCATGTCTTAGGAATCTTATCATCCCGACAATTTCATCTGCCTTGGTTTGGTAAGTCCATATCGAGATATGCTAGGATCAGTTGCCCTGGCGCCCTGGCGCTCGAGGTTAACTACCAAGTGACACGTGGATGTTTACTATTAAGGTATCAAACAAAGCCAAAGCCTTTACAGCCACAGGTAGACTAGTCATATGATCATATCATACCCACTTTTCAGTTTTTAATTTAACTTTGTTGGGGAATATGGTATTTGGAATATCAACTTTAATAGAAGCTGCCAGGCATTTTCCATTTGATTTTTGGCAGGCAGCAGATGCACTACACAACAAGCAGATCAATCTTTTTTCAAAAAATCACTCACCTTACCCTCTCTAACACTCGTTTAATTTAAGTAAATTGTTATTGACACTTTAACAATTTTATTTGGTTTTTTTTGTTCTTCTAAATATAAATGTTTTTAAAAATAATAAAATTTTTGAAATGCCAATAACAATTTTATAATTTAATTATATTTGTTGGTTCAGTTTTGAATTTAATTATATTTGTTGGTTCAGTTTTGATGTATTCAATCCGACCATAAAAACTTAAATGGTCAGTTTCCTCCCGACAGTCGGCTAGTCTGTAAATTTAGGCTTAAAGAGATGGAAAGTCTGGCAACTTATCATGCGTCCTGGACTGCAAACATTAATACTTGTCCTTTTTATTCCATCATATCATATTATTATATTCAAAGCAACCCTATATTGGTATTTAATGACGTCACCCGCACCACCCACATCACAGGTTGTTTGACTCTAAAATGAACTTTCCAACTTAACTCGCAAAAAATCTGATTTGGAAGGATTAACCGTTCCTGTTCAAATAACTTGAGTTACAATCTCCCTCTTCCTACATGGTAGAATCTCTTTGTTTGGAGAGCAGGAAAAAAAGTAGAGAGGCAGGCAGGCAGGCAGGCACAGGAGCACAACAAATAAAAGCAGAATGTAAATGGGGAAAATTATGTACTAACTCTCTTTCTGTAAAATATTGTGTACAAAAAGTGTTTCAAATCTCTCTCTTCTCACTTCCTTCTTCCTTCTTTCCACTACTAGTCCTGTTACACTACAATTTTTACCACCCTCTCTCTCTCTCTCTCTCTCTCTCTCTCTCTCTCCTACAACAAATTTTTTCTTCAAGGATTTCTTTGTTTTTACACCTCCAAGCAAAACTACCAATTCCCACTACTTCCGCTTCCAAATCCCCCACAACTGCGCAATGCAAGCAACCACCACCCCGTAGCTCACACATTTCACTTCTGCTCAGTAGTTCCGATTCCGTCAACTCCCAATCCTGCTTGCATCAACACAGCCAACAATACAATTCATTCAGCTCGCGTTTCACAAACCATCATCAGCAGCAGCAACAATGTCATAGTTTCACACACAAGCAATTTCAGCAAACCGTACCTCAATAAAGCGATCCACCCAAACAGTTAAAGGCCCTCCTTCCCACATGGAAAGCATGCTCTTCAATGTCTGTCTTTCAATCCAATGCAACTGAATGCACAGACTAGGATTGAGCGTTATCGTCATCTGAGTCACTCCCTGAAGAACTTCCAGAATCTGAATCTGCAAGCATCCCACCCCACAAGACGTTTAAGCACTATCTCTTTGTTTTGTTTTTTTCATTCTAATTCAGAAACTATAAAACTTCATTTACACCAAATCTAAATCCATTTCAGTTTTGGGTTATACCGCTTGATGAGGAGGAGCCACTGCTCGAACTACCAGAGCTGCTTGAACTATCACTACTAGCATGGCCACCGACATCTTTCTCAATCTCCACTGGTGGGAAGCTGCTCATTGGCATGTCATCGCCAATGTCCACGTCTTCATCTCCCGCTTCACCTTTTTTCAACCTCTTATGCTCCGCAGTTGATGCAACTTCAACTTTCTCACAAGCAGGTTGTTCCTAGAACAGTAAAAAAGATCACGATTTCAATAAGCAAACAACGTGCAAGAAAAATCATAGTACGAATACAATGCCATTGTAAAGCTACTTCAAAATTCAATCAGGCCCTTACCCGGTGCCCTCTGTTTGAAGCAATGTTGCTATTGCTGTTGCTGTTGGCGTTACCCATCAATGCTTGCCGCTTAATCTTGCTAACCATCTTCTTCCAATTCGTCACAAGCCGATCAAGCTCCCAAAGGGTCTCCGTATCAACGGCCTCAATGTCAAGCTCAATCTCGTCCCCATCCTGCTTCAAATGCCCATTCCTCTTCCTTATAATCTGCACAACCTGCTCCATCTTCTCCTGAGGCAAACTCTGCAACCCAATTCCCAACTTTTGCTTCTCCTCCATACTCATATTCCTCTTGTTTGGGTCCTTCGCCTTTGGCTTCGGCTGCTTCAATGGCTTCACTCCCGACCCCTTCAACTGTGAACTCGTCCTCACAGGAGAAGAATGCGCCAATGCTGGATTCGACGACGGGTTTGATGAGCTCACAGGAGCTGGAACGGGAGACGATCGAACTGGCGGAGGCCGAACCGGCTCAGGTTTCTTCTCTATCCGAACAGGCGTCTCCCTCCTTGAAACCCTCTCGGGCTCAACATGGTTCCAGGAACTCGCCTGCAATTCCTCATCAGAACCCTTTTCGGACCGGAACTCATCCCCGTGTTTGTCAATCAGAGGCTGAAACAACTCCTCGAACCTCGAACGAAGCTGATTGGCAAAATTGTAGACCTCGTGGCCTTGGGGATTGTACCGCATGGCATTCTCGAAAGTCAATCTCACATCAGCTGCAAAATCAGAAGGCGTTAGATAGAGACCCTTGGCGAGATAGGTTTTGACGGTGCCGAGATCCATCGGTTTCTTGATGATGTCGTAGTAATCGTGAAGGCCCAACGCAACTACATCAACTGGTTTGTTGAAGATCCAGGCATACTTCTGCTTCATCAGCTTGGATAATACCTGCCCGCAATTCTTCATCAAATCCCCATTTTCCAAATGCGACCTCTTGGAATTGGAACTCGATTCCTTGCCGTGAGCGACCGGCAAGGGCCGTTTCGACCCAGCCATCTTCTTGTTGCCGATCGGCTTCTTATGAGCCGACTTAGGGTTGAAGTCGCCGGCTTCAATTCGGTTCTTGAGAACGCGAATCTGGTCGAGCTCAAAGAGGAGGCGGTTCTTGAGCTCAACCAGCTCTTTTCCCGAATAGCTCGCGATGTTGAAGCTGACGTATTGGGAGTGAACGAGATTTACGTCGTTCGTGTTCGATCGCCGATGGTGGTTGATCGACGAAGCGTCATCTGATGCAGTCTGAGTGACGGCCGGCGACTCATCGTTGAAATCGGGATGATGAGCTTGGAATTGTCGCTTTTTAGGGTTAGGGTTACGGTTAGTGTTTGAAGAAGAAAAGGGAACTTTCCCCATGAATCCTCCTCCGGCTCCGGCTCCTCCACCTCTGGGTTGCTGCGGCCAATTGGGTTCGTTCCGGTTCGCTAAGACGGCGGACGCCATAGCTGTACGGTGTTCGAAGCTTCGGGTAGGGTTCCAGTTGGGCTCCGGCTAGGGATTCTCAATGCAGGTGAAAGACCAGGCACCATGAATCGGCCCCGACGTAACCCACACGCGCCGCCAATAATTGGGATATAGAGAGGGGGCGAAGAAGGTTTGCGTAGAGAGAGGTTAGGGTTTGTGGGACTTCACCCTAATCTGAGCGAGGAACGAGAGGAGGACGAGGGCCACTTCTTAAAGGCGGCCAGATCTACCCGAGGACGTTTTGGGCACTTTCTTGACCGTCAGTTGGGCTAGGATCGTTGATCCGACGGTGCAACATGATTTCCTTGCTGCCCGCGGAACTGACCGTGTGAACTGGCAGGGACGGTAGGGATGGAAAAGACGAGTGCACGTGGCGGAATGTGGAGCGTCGATTTCAGGCCAGGGCTTCATCGAGGCGGGATCTGTAATTTGGAGTTTGATTTTGGAGTGAATTTGGTGTGAATGTGTCGCGCATTTAGGGTTTTCCAAAAAGTTTGAAGCGTGGGATCCACCGCCGATGACGTGGACTGGGCTCGGTCATGTGTGACTGTGCGTTCCTGCCGTAAACGAGAAGTTAAAGATTTTTCAGTGTGATCGCCACACGAGATGGTATACCACTTATCATTATATAAATGATTGAATATGTGTGTTAAAAAGTTAATAACTTAAGAAGTAAAATTTTTCACCACTTACATAAAAATAGGTGGTGTTCCACCCGTATTCCGATCACAATAAAAAAAATTTCATTGCGATGAGGGGGCAGTGATCTCTTGTGAGGTTCCTTTAGTTTCTTCAAGGGTATTTTGGTAAATGAAAACAAGATAGGGGTTTATGAAAAGGTGTTCAAATCTCCCGCATCCATTTTTTGTGTGGCCTCTACCATTGATTGATATGTATCCATAAACTTAACATTTCTTAATTCTGTTATAATAAACTTAATACGTATCAATTAATGACATAGGTCACAAACAAAATATGTGCAGAAGATTTAAACTCCACCAAATGGGTATATATCCCAACGCGACACCTAAAACGATAAGAATTTCAATGTTTCATAAAAAAAAAAAAATAGACAATAAAATAAAAAACATGTGCGTAAACTTTTTTATATATAAAAAAAATTAAAAAATACACTCTCTGATGATTTTGCAAGCGTCACCGTAAGGTTGAATTATAATGTTTTGTATGTTTAAAGAAATGAGTGAAATTAATTAATTTTGATAATTGTAATTGAAAGATATGTTTGGTGGTTAATTATGGTAAGATGGTTGAATTGATATGTTTGTATTTATTCATTAAAAAAAAAAAAGGAATAATTCTTGCATTGCATTTGAAAATTGAAATGCATGTACCAAAAGCATTTGGACAAAAAGAAAGTGGTCTGTTTAGGGAAATTGGATTTGTGAGTTGAATTGATGGAAAAACTAATCGAATAATGCATTTTCCATTTTACAATCACACCAAATTAATTAATGCAACTTGGTATTATTTGAGTTTGAATACTTAACATGTCTAAAACAATGGTCAAAGCCTTGAATGAGTGCGTTTAAACCATATGTCACCAACTTTTCCTTTGGTTTTTATTTGGTTTCCCATATTGCCCCTTATGAACTACAAGAAACTGCAAACCTTCTTCTAGATCTTAATTACACACTCATCATCCGATGTGAGGAGGCCACCGGATCATTAAATATGATTTCTTCTAACACACCGGATTTAGATAACTAGATGGAAACCCGAATCGAAATGGGTTGGTCGACACTCGAAGGAGGACGAAACAATAACTTGCGTGCAAATACGTGTAATAAATAGCTTCGAATAATCTACTAAAAATTCGGCAAAATTTCCTTTGAAAATAGGTTTAGGCCCAAATTCAAAATCTTGCTGAAAACTTTATAATTATTTCAACACAACATCCCCAAAGGGCCACACCTAATGGATTGTATATCATCCATTACATGCATAAGGTTACAACAAAAAACAAAAGGGAAGACATGAAGGTGTTAGGGAATCTTGGTTTCTCATCCATTAAGACATAGACGTTCATACAAAAATGACATAAGGGACTAGTTCTACTGAGTAGGAACTGATCAAAGCTGTAACAAATCACCTCGACGTCAAGAAGATCTATGCCACTAAGTCAAGTAGTATAGCATACAATTCCATATACAAGCGGTAACTAGTGTGAGTTGAAAATGTAACAATACAATAGCCGTAGCTAGTGGAAGCTGAATGGACATGTCCACGGTAGGGACAAGTTGAATATATTGTAAGATAACACATATAAGTGTAAGCTGAATATCATGTTTGTATTATAGACAAGATGAGTATGAATCATATACGTGTAACATGAATGACATGTTGGTAGTATGGACAAGCTAAACATGAATCATGCATGTGTAAGCTGAATTTCATGTTAGTAGTATGGTCAAGCTAAATATAAGTCATGATGTGTAAGCTAAATGTCATGTTCGTGGTACGGACAAGCTGAATATGAATCATATATGTGCAAGTTGAATGTCATGTCCGTGCTATGGATCATACATATGTAAGCTAAATGTTATGTATGTAGTATGGACAAGTTCAATAGTATTATCATACTCGTGTAAGTAGAATGACATGTTCGTAATACGGACAAGCTGAATAATATCATCATATACATGTGAGTTGTGTCCTACGGCCGTATACTGGTACAATACTCTAAATATGTGTAAGTGTATGCATATCACAACATAAATAACAATCGAGAAATCAATATTCATACAATCATCATCATCATTATCATACTCGTGTAAGTAGAATGACATGTTCGTAATATGGACAAGCTGAATAATATCATCATACACGTGTGAGTTGCATCCTACGACCGTATACTGGTACAATACTCTAAATGACATGCCCAACCCCGATATCTTCCAAACATCAATGTAGGCACGTGCTGGCCGACACCTGAAGGTGATGAAGTCATACTAACATGCATGAGAACTATGAAGAAAGAACGAACATAAATAAAACTTGTAAATTTAACTATAATGAGTATGCAATTGTGGAACGTGTTCATAGCATACAACTAATCCAGAATGTGACAGCCCGTCCCTAATTTTTCAATTTAATAAGTTTTAAAAATGTGATTTTACGAAAATGCCCTATAGGCGAAGGTTTTGACTTTCATTGACTAACGTGTTGTGAGACGTACTAAACATTCTTTTAGCGTATTCTTGAAGTACTCAACAAGATGAATGAGGAAGCGCAAGCAGAAGTGAATTTGGAGTTACGAATCGAAAGTATTTTGAAGAAATAACTATTTTAATTATATTATATTAGTGTATGCTAAATTAGGAGGACATGGGGTGTGTGTGTGAGTATGCGTATGTGTGTGTGACAGAAAAAAAAAATGATTAAAATGAAAGGCAGATGCTGCGGGGGAGGAAGCTCCCATCTGATGGGAGATAGACGAACCAGAGAAAGAGGAGATGACTGGACTAATGAGAGGAAGAGAAGGGACGAAAGGAGAGAGAAGGGACGACCGAAGCCATATATAAGTATCATTAACTCGTTAGGCCTACATCACCCGACTGAAGCTATATATAAGTATCATTCACTCGTAGGTGAACCGAAACCATATATAGGCATCATTCGCCCGTAGGCCCTTCATCACCCGACCAAAGCCATATATAAGTATTATTCGCCCATCATTCGCCCGTAGGCCCTTCATCACCCGACCGAAGTCATATATAAAATTATTCGCCCATAGGCCCTTCATCACCCGACCGAAGTCATATATAAAATTATTCGCCCGTAGGCATATATAAGCACATAAAATCATAAACATAATATTTCCAAAATATATCTCATCAGAGCTCAATAGCTCAAACATCATATCATATATCATAGAAGCATTCTAGCTCAAATCATCATCATAAACCATGTTCATAGTATATAATCATAAATCTTTCAAGGGACATAAATCCGATAAAGCATGATATTTCATAAAGTGTAAATCCAAATTACTCATAAAGGTTTCATAAAACTTAGTAAAAAAATCATGCTTTTCATGTATGCATTTCTAGTAATAAAATCATGCATTTTGGAAAGGGGTCCACTTACCTTACTCCGTCATTGAAGAGCCGTGCAAACTAGAGAAGACGGAAATGCCACTAACAAACGCACCTAAGCACATAAAGGGACCAATTAATAAAATTTTACTATAATAATTGAATTTGAGAAAACAAACGTCGTTAACGGATTCAGGACATCAAAAAACCTAAAGGGGGACCTCGGGTACCCCCACGCACGTGCCACCACGCTCTGAGTTGGGTTGCCATAAAGTTGGCCTAAAAAGTCGTCAGTCCTGCCGTCCACGACGTCGAAGCACAATACCTTCGACGAAAGCGCGTGTGCTTCATGCGTCGACCATGACAAGCATCCACGCGCACCCACGCACTGACCTGGAACCTGGGAACCGATTAGGTCAGGTCGAATCTAGTTTTCAAGTCTGGGCTTTGTTTAGTGAGCTGACGGCCTAGGTTAGGTCAGTAGCAACTTTGGTTTGGATTCGGGTTTAAGGGTAACGGGTCGGGTTGATCGAATTTCAGGCCGTGGGTTCAGCAGAAAACTGGGCAACACTTCCCGAGCTCTGTTCGAGCACATTTCTACACCATTTGCAATGATTCAAAAGCCAAAAAGAAGCTTAAGATGAGAAGAATAGATTCGCACCAATTTGGAGCGGTATGGTGGCCGAAGTTGGCTAGAAAATGGCATGGAAGTCTCGGCTTCTCGCCAGAATCTGGGAAAAGCTAACTTTGAGCTATTTCTGCGTATAACAAATTGTGTGCAACTTAAAACAAGCTTCGATCTAACCTTAAAACACATTGCAAAGGTTCTAGAAGCTTACCAACATCGGAAAAACCGCAAAACGTGTTGGAGTTCGTTAGGGAAGATAATGAACAGTGACTCCATCACTGGAAGGGTTCCACGACGATTGGCCTGGGGTTTTCGAGGTCTCCTCATCTAGTGATGAGGTCTATTGTCATGTGAATGAAGCTAAAAAAGGAGAAGGAGAGTTTGTAGAAGAGAGAGCTCAAGGGTGAAGGAAATGGGAGAGAAAAGTGAGAAGGAGAGAAGAGAGAGGTCCGAGAGTTGTACACAGGAAGGTGAGAAGGGTGAGAAAGAGAGAGAGTGAGCCAGGGGACCAAAAAGCCCCATATGGCACACCAAACAAGATCCAAAAAGCAACCATTTCAAAATATCTCCCAACCAAAGTGAAATTACAAAATTGTCTTTCCAATTCGTAAAATCCGGGACAAGTCGTTACACTAAACATGTGTAAGTGTATGCGTTTTGGACTGCCACTCGATTGTGTGATAGGCGGAGATCTGACTATTGGATCGTTATGGAATTATAGTATGTGGTTGTGTATGTAACACAACGCCTTTGAGAATTTACAGATAAAAATGCGACATGCAAATCTTCCCGATTAGAATTTACAGATAAATATTGTTGATCGTAGTTTTGACTGCTTTGACTGATGGTTGACTTTTGGTCAACATGCTGCAAATCATTCTTGAATATCAATGTTAGCATCACTAAAAACCCAATAAAGCCTAGCAGTCAGATTTTGCCCATCGTCACTGTATTTCTTATTTCGGTGAAACCTTCATTTCTACTAAGTATGGATATTCAAAAATGTAGCATACATTGAATTTCTCTTATGATGGTGAACTACGATTGACTTGATCCATTCACAGAGTATGCAAGCAGTCTAACTCGAAAGTAGATGCAGCCATAATGTTAAATAAAATTAAATGTTGAATAGTGTATGGAGTTTGGGATGTGAGATTATTGTGTTTCGGTCTAGGTACGAACTTTACTAGATTGACAAAGACAAAACTCCTTAAGGGAAAGCTAGCCGGAAGTGTGTTTCGGTCTAGGTACAGACTTTACATGTATGAATATTTTCAGAAATGTTTTTTTTTAGCAAATATTAAACATACCCACATAAATATGAATTTTAGTTACATTTTATGAGTTAAACAACCTTTTAGATTTACTACTAAGTCTTATGACTTATGATGATGATGATTGTATGAATATTGATTTCTCAATTGTTAGTTATCTTGTGAACTCACAAGTTTGTCTCGGAAAATCAAGCTCGACACAAGTTCACAGGTCACTAGAAGGTCTTTAGAATTTAGACAACACTCGTGAACGACCCCATGCACTGCCACATATGTTGGTAACCATGGTGGAGGGTTTTGTAAACTTAATTTTTCGACCTTAACCAAAATGGTCAAACTTATGGGGTAGCTAGAGCTCGACAAGGGAATCAAATTTCATAATTGGGGCTGCAACTAATTGTGGCCGGAAACCAACCAAGCGCACTTGCCAAAACTGGAATTTCAAGGGTTTAGATCCCAATACTATGGACACAAGACCAATTCAAAGAATACCAACATGTATATAACGAAGAGTAGATAAAGTTTCATACCTCACTAGAAGGAAATGGTTGCCGGAAACACTAGAAAAAACGGCGAAGAAAGTCAAAACGTATTGTTGCCTTCTCATCATATTTTCATAAAATCCGGTGGCTCCTCAACTAAATTGACGCTACTAGAATGATGATCTCATCAAGGCTTTCCATAGAAACCAAGATCACCCCAAACAAAGGACGGATGAGGGAGAATCGATCGGGTCAAGTTTGTGGGTTACAAGGTCAAGAGTGACCCTCAGTACTGATAGGGGCTTTCTATTTAGGAAGGCTCCTAATGCTTACAAGGAGTATAGGTACTCCTTTTATCACCAATTGATGTTATAATGAAACCTCAACTTACTCTCTTCACACAAACATAAATATATTTAGTGGTACTCAAACATATATTTATAAAGATACAGGTATATGTTTTGATGGTCGGTACAAATTTGTGTGTATTTAAAGACATGAAACACAAACTGTCCCTTCAATTTGTTCCAAAAGATGATAACATTATCAGGTAACAAATATAATGGAGGGGTCGCAGCAACACTCATCCAAGAGACAACAGCAACACAACGCTGCAAGGCTGCATAATTAGTGCAAGAACAAATTAATTAGTAACTGCATAAGAAGTATATTAGAAAGAAACTACCACATCCCTTTTTCATACATGCATCCTCATGTGATTACATAATACATACATTTATATAAACATATGATTTGTTCAGAAGTGCTTTTGGAATAGCTGAAAACGCTTTTAGAAAACAAAAATGTTTTTAAATTTCAAAAGCACTTGCATTTTTATTAAGAATTGATTCTAAAAATATTTTCACCAAAAATATTTTGAACTATTTTATAAACATTTTCAAACAAGTCCATAAAGGACGTTGTCGAATTAAAATAAATTTTGCTAAAAGTAATAAGGAGAAAAGGAAAGAAATAAAAGTTAACTTGGCAGAAAAAAATATGGAATAAATAAAGAATAAAGTTAATACCATCCTTCAAGGAAACCTGGTTCTCTTTTTGGTGGTGGAGCAGCATTATATTGTGGAGGAGCCATCACAGGAGGTCCTTGATAAGGCCCTGACATCGATTTACAAGTAAAAACTATGTTAATCAATAATCTAGCTCCTAAATGCTATCAATTCCCAATAAACTACATCATGATCTCGATATCCTAATTAATTATTTTATCATCAAATCATATGTACTTAGAAGAAGTCCAAGCAGTCCTAGCACAATATCAAAAAGATGAAAATAATTTAGAGATGGTTAATCCATGGGGATGCAGCAAATTATTTGATATAAAATACAGATCAGATCGAAACATAAATATATTCTTTAGATTGTAAACAAACACGAGCAAATAATATGATCATGATCATCAAAGAAGGATCGATCAACGAACGGCTAAACCAGTAATCATTATCCATATAGATTAAAGAATACATCAGAATTATGAATTGAGCAAAAGATTAAAAGAAGCCCTGCACTGCACATATGATATATAGTTTGGTAATCAGAAAAGAATAAAATAACAAGTAGAATACGTTCGTACGTACCTTGAGCAGGTGGATACGGGTAACCATACTTAGGCTCATTCATCTCCAACACAAGACAATGATCGATCAGTGAAACACCAGAGAGAAACACAACTGCATATATTTTCACTAGTTTATATAGATATGAGATTTATATATGGTTCTCGCACTAATATAATATTTGCATGATGAAAAGAAGAATCGAGAATATATTTGTTGTGATAAGAGTGAAAGGTACTACTTAAGAACTACGAAGGAAGGCTCCAGAATATGGCTCTGAAACTTGACGAAGACTAAACATCCTCTTTTCAATTTTTATTAATTTAATTGGGGTGTTTTGATTGGTTGGTTTACACGCATATCAATTTAAAGTTGGAACTTTCTTTTCCATGATCTATTTTCTTTTTTATGACCTATATATATACATAGAGTAATGTTGTTTTTATCATAATTTATATAATATTTATTTACTATCTTAGTAGTAGATGAGTTAGACAAACTACATCATTTAATTTCAATCTTTTTATTAATTAAAATACTTAAATAATCTTAGATGACAGAAGAAGACTCCTCATATACCATAATCATCATTTAATTAATAATCTTTTTATTAATTATTGATTAACATTTTGGATTAAATACTAATTAATTTAAATGATGTGGTTGTCCACATCAGATGCCATCTAAGGTGGTATACAATTATAGTACAAAAATATGATAAGAATAACATTATATATATATATATATATTATATATATATATGTGTGTGTGTGTGTGGAATGATGAAGAGGGAATATTAATTTTACTTTTAGGGAAGCTGCTGTTTTTCTTGAGACATGGGAGTTGATCGAGTTGTGTGCATGCGATGAGAGATTATCTGAAAAGCTTATGTATTAAGCTCACAAGTATTTTGGGAAATACCTACTTGGTGCATGGAGATACTGGAAGCTACCACACAACCTTTTTTTTTCTTTTTCTGTTGCTTCTTTTTATATCCCCTTCACATTGACATTGTAAAATAATATCTTAATTTACTTCAAATCAATACATTTCGGATTCAAACGCTATTTCTCTTCTTCATGTAGTTTAATAGAAATAAAATCTCTCTATAACACATCCTCATGTAGGAAATTCTATCTCACTTGTGAGCGTGGGAAATTACAGATATTATATTTGCACGATGATTTTGGTTATTCTTTTAGGCTTATTAATATATTTACCTGCTTAAATTGCTATTTTCATCTCATTTAGTCTCAATTCACCCATTTTCCTCCACTCCTTCTAATAGACATTATGACACATCCCGACCCGGAAAGTTCCATTGGACTCTGAATCGAGTTGTGCTGGCCGACACCTGAAGGGTGACGAAGCCATAAAGTGTAGTGTAATGGAAAAAGAATATGAATAAATTTAAACCTAAAAGTGCCTAAACAAAGAAGTGCGCAGGTGAGCGGGATTGAACCATTTTCACACGTGATAATAGAGCATAAGACAATATAATGAATAGGATGAGGGTTATGCCACTGAAGGTAATCATCTCCTGAGATTTGCCAGAATCCTTGTAAATACATAAGCACAACTACTAAACCTGGAGGAGCGAAAAACAAAGTTGAGTGGGTCAGCAAAACAACGTTTTGTAAAAACCTTTATTTTCGAATATACTAACCCCTAGCCGTAAAACAAGTATAGTTTCTTTAAAACATACTACGTAAGTATGTAAACGATAAATCATCAGCATTATAATAGTATTATAACCAGAAATATGTCAAGTCATGATGTATCAAATGCCACAATAATATAATCATGTGATAATCAAGTATAGCTAAGTGTTCATCCATCTAGGCTGACACACGAGTTCAAACAGATAATTTCTTATACGAACAAGACTGGGTATAATTGATATCCTCTAGTACTACGATCACGTGAAAGTTGGTGCAGAAGCATGGTCACATACAAGTCGGATTGCTTAATGCAATCTACCCGACAGGACTAGCACCTAACTTGGATCCAAGGCAAGCGAATGGTGCGATGTGAACATACACGTGAAGGACTGGCACTGGCCCTGGGGTGAGTACTAACACCGGTACAACAAGATGAGCATGTACAGATATGTATGAATGTCATGATAGTAATATCTCAACCCTATAGCAGCATTTATCACAATTTATATCACAATAACGAACACTTGGCAATAAGTGTAAAAGTGAAGTAACTACACATTTAGGGAAACTATCAATATGTATAGGTATAAAATAAACTGCCCACTCACAGATACGCAGTCCAAATGAAGCCTTCGAACCTTGCTTGACCCCGTACGTCCTCGGGATACGTTTTCCCTAAATGTGAAATTACTAATTTAATTAGTTTATTAACACATATACAGAAACTTAAATAAAACCTCCATAGATTACTCAAACATAAGGTTTGAATATACGAAAATGATATACTCGACGTCATGGACCCACGCACGTCGACCACACGTCGACCGGAGGTAGGACGCGCCACCATGCGTCGCCACAAGTGGCTGCACAGGCAGCCATACGCGCCCATGCGAGTACATACGTACTTGCCTTCCTCGTGAGTTCCTGAATTTTTTTTTGTAGGTTTTGGACCAACTTCCCAAGCTCCTAACGAGCTCGATTCTCAACCAAAAACAATTCTACAAAAACCAAATTAAAGCTAGAAATGAGATGAATCGATCCATATTCACAGAAAGTTCAAATGTGGTATGTGTCGTCTAGGAATTTGGCCTGAAAGTGGCCAAATGGCCACGGTCAAACTTTTCCAGATTTTTTTGAATTTCTTCCCAACTTTCAGGGTTGTTTTCTAACTCGATAGTTGACCAAACTCAGTGATTCAAAAGCCATTTTGAAGTTAGGAATATAGAGAATAAGTCTATACCTATTAGGAGTCCAGTCGTGGTCAAGGTTGGCCGGAAAAATGAGTTGAAAATGACCAAATGGTCACAGTTCCTTTGCTGGAAAACTGAGCAGTCTCCCCCTCGAGCTTTCTATGCTAAGACATTTGTTGAAAACATGTACACAAGATCAGAGTCAACTCATAAGAATGATATGAAAGTTCTTAGGATTTCCCAAGGCTTACCTAAGCCGTGATGAAAATCGTTGAACCAAAACTTATCGAGTCAGACCTTCCGAGTTGGACGTCCAAAATTCAGTCAACACATGATCAAATGGTATGGTTGAGTTCGTGGAGTCAAGATGAACACAATGGTATAGTTTTTTTTGTCACGTTTGTGTGTTTTGGTGTGAATTTGAGAAGGTTGCAGAGAAGAAGAGAGAGCTCGATGAGGAAGAGAGAGAAAAGAGAGAGAGTGATGTGAGGGTTGCTTTCTGATTGGTTGGGCAGAGATAAAGAGAGGTGATTGATTGGGTGAAAGAAAATGGGAAGGAAATTGATTGGTGGTGAGTAAAAAGGGGAAGACATGGGTTACATTAAAAGAAAAGAAGAGATAGGGTTAAGTTTTCAGATTTTCTATAGTACAAAGAAATGAAAAACACTTGTAACAGTGTTTCTACACTGGTAGAAATTCTCATACACTCGTAACAACGTGTACAATTTAAATGTGATAGCGAGAAATAAAATAAAAGCGATATAAGTACGACGTCACTTGCCAATAAGGGCATAATAGTCATTGCACATAGTCGAAAAGAAGTTACATAAATAATATAGGGACGGGTCGTCACATGTTAAAATAAAAGGTAATATGGACATTTCGTTTCTTACATAGGTGAAGATATGCCCCATGCCTAGCGATGCGGTACTTACATGGAAATTTTGGGTGATCACCCTATTTACTAGGCTACACGTGAATTGTAGCAAAAAACGTTGGGGAAACAAATTAGGTTAAGTGAAAGAGGAGAAATGAATTTAGGCTTGCGAATCTAGTCCTTGAGTTCAATCGACAATTAATCTTCTTGTAAAAAGTTTATTGTAAGTTAAAATCAAAATTTTAGTTTGCATTGTCAAAAATAGAATTGGGATCATTTTAGCTGGCAGGATTGGAGGCAAAGAGTTATGGTAAAAATGAAACGTCCATACTATCCTTTACTTTAGTGTCTATATGACGGAATGAATGAAAAGGGTGATTGTGAGTAAATGAGACGAAAACGTCAGTTTAGGGGGCAAAGTGAGATAAAACCAGGTTCATGGCTAAAATGAGACTAAATAATAATTTCAGGGGCAAATTGATTAATAAACCTAATGTTTTTTTAGCCACCATCGTTACATACTTACAGTTAATGATCTTCCTCAATCCCTCGAAGAATTTCATTTTTGTTGCATCTCATCAGAAGTTGGCTCATTTACTAATTGATGATCAAAGTGGGAGGAATTGATTTGAGGGGTATTGAATTGTTGAGGAGTTTGAATGGAGAAGAGTCAAAATCGGATTCATGTTGGAGTTGTTTATTAAAACCTTCCGAAATCAGAATGGATTCCATATAAACTATTTACTAATTCACTTAAATAAGAGTGGTAATTAATATACCTACATAAATATTTTCATAAATGTTTTCTTTAGCAAATATTAAACATACCTACATAAATATGAATTTTAGTAGGGGTGGGTTCGGTTCTGTTCGGTTCGGTTTTTGGCCGAAATCGAAAACCAAACCGAAGTTACTGTTCGGTTCGGTTTTTTTTTGGTTTTTTTCGGATCGGTTTTTTCCATGAATTTTTTTTTTTAAATCTGGAGCTTGAAGTTTGTTATTAAAATTAACAAACTTGTAGTCAAATCCATGATGCATTCCTATAATGAACACATGAATTAACAAACCTGCAACATCAATTATTATAAAAATAAAAAAAAACCCACAATTTATTCTTTTTCCAGTTCACCCAAAAAACCAAGAATTAAACCTTTACCTCCATCTTGCAGATCGAACAAAACAAAATCAAGTACATACAGGAAAATCCCATGGCTCACATTTATAGAGGTCGACCTCTGGGATAATTTCTAGCTCAATGGTGCGACCATTGATTTTTCGATCCAGATAGTAAGCAACAAGCTCTTCATCCGTTGGGTGGAATCTGAATCCAGGAGGAAGACTTATGGGTGCCATTGCAGTACTCTTTGAGAGTGTGAGAAAGATGAAGTTAAACAGAGAGAGAAGAAAAAGATGATGAAAGATGAGAATTGGGAATTGGGAAAGATGGTTTTTTTCGGCTAGGGTTAAAGAAATATGAAATATGGTTTTTTCGGCTAGGGTTAAAGAAGATGAAAGATGAGAATTGGGAAAGATGAAAGGTGGGGATTGAATGAAAGATGGGAATTGATAACCTATTAAACAATTATGATCCATCTTGTTTTAAATATGCTACTCATAATGGTATTAGCAAGAAAAAACTTGCTGTCAAAATGGTTTAAGGGAAAGATACTCAACTAAGTGAGAATGGGTTCGAACCCCTTTGGATGTGAACTTTTTTTTTTTTTAATAATTAAAATATATTTCGGTTCGGTTCGGTTTTCGAACCTCAAAAATCGAAACTGAACCAACCAAATTCAGTTCGGTTTGGTTTGACAATTTCGGTTCGGTTTTTTTCGGCCTTGGTCTGGTTTTCGGTCCGGTTTTTTTCTGTTTTCGGTTTTTTGAACCCACCCCTAAATTTTAGTTACATTTTATGAGTAACCTTTTAGATTTACTACTAAGTCTTATGACTTATGATGATGATTGTGGATGCAAATTTATTCTTCCTTATTATTGGACAAAATTACACCTACAAAACAAACAACACCTTAGGTCAAGGCCAAGAGCCTCATGCGCCCACGATGAATTGGGGGGGGGGGGGGCTTTGGCTGAAGAACCTTCGATGCCAAAGTTAGAATTTTGAGGGAAAAATGTTTGGAGAATTTAGAAAGAGTATAGAACTTAGGTTTTGGAGAAAATGTGGGGGTTTATATAGGGGTGTGGTCGACCCCTTTGGGAGGAGAAGGACCGGCCGGCCACTTGGATGGTTTTTTGGGTGAGATTCATGATTTGTTAGCTAATTAATAAATTAATTAGGTAATAAATCAATTAATTAACTAATTAATATAATTAGAAAGGAATGATTTGGGGGTTACCTCGTGGAGAAGATTTGATGAGGATAAATGAAATAGGTTTTGAATAAATACCTATTTTGGGCATTTTGACTTGATTGAGGGATGATTGCTCACTGCTTGCGCATAGAAATCCTGATGTACCTCAAGGGTAATCTTGTCTTTTTATCCAAAAATTCATGTGTCGCCGCCATATTTTTCTTGACTATTTTTGGCTTCACAAATGCCCCCACACTTGTTGAGCTGCTCGCAGGAAAGAGCAGCATGTGTAGAGATCTCCAGCTTTGATGCAGATTCTCACTTGGACTTGGAATTAGATTCTTCTAGGAAAGATAAATAAATCGCCTTCAAAGCCTATTTAAGCCTACCTTAATTAAGGGATTAAATCAACTTTGGAGGGTAATTATGTGTCCCTACAAGAAAGCGAGAAAACTAGAGGATATTTGTTCCTTCTCTCCTAGCACTCTTCTTTGCTTGCCCGTGCATAGAACCACCTTCCATTGATTTCTTTGTCTTCTCCGCGCCGCACTGATGTAAGAAAAACTTAATTATCCTTGTCTTTTTCTTGGGTGGTGCTGCCATGAGGTTGCTATCGAGGTGGTGCGGCACGTCGGCTGGCAGAAGTCAAGAGTCGGCTTGGCATGGGCCAAGGAAATGGTGTGGCAGAGGCCATTGCTTGTGCTACTTAGCTTGACTGAAGCCAAGGATTGGCTCAGCATGGGCCGAGGAAGTGGCGTGTCATGGGCCACAGTTTGGGCTGCTTACCAAAAATGAGGAAACTGCTTGAGTTTGATTTCTTAGCTGTCGTAAATGGAACAATCATGGATTGAGCTGCCAAGATTGGAGTTGCTAAAGATGAAGTGTCGGATGAGCGAATTGTTGAATTCACTGCCTAGTTAGTCTTCAAGCATTCGATCTTTTGAACTATGTGGCCTTATCGCACTGGAAAGCTTACCCAGATTGGTGTCGGGCAATTAGTTTACCCTCTCTTACTGGAGAGCAATTAGTTTACCCTCTCGCACTGGAGAACTTATCCATATGGGTGTCGGGGAATTAGTTTACCCTTTCGCATTGGAGAGCAATTAGTTTAACCTCTCGAACTAGAAAGCAGACCCATATAGGTGTCGGGGAATTGGTTTACTCTCTCGCACTAGAGAGTAATTAGTTTACCCTCTTGCACTAGATAGCAATTAGTTTAACCTCTTGCACTGGAGAGCAGACCCATATGGGTGTCGAGGAATTGGTTTACCCTCTCGCACTGAAGAGCAATTAGTTTATCCTTTCACACTGGAGAGCTTACCCAGATGAGTGTCGGGATATTGGTTTACCCTTTCGCTCTCTAGGGGATTGGTTTACCCTATCGTACTGGAGAGAAATTAGTTTATCCTCTCGCACTGAAGAGCTTACCCAGATGGGTGTCCAGAGATTGGTTTACCCTCTCACACTGGAGAGCATAGAAGTCGTTGTCGTGAGTGCTGCTGAGAAAAACTGTACTGCTGAACAACTGAAATAATCCTCAGCTTACGAGGTCTTGTTTGGCGAACTGCTTGTGGAACCCGCATAAGGGTGTAAGTGCAGTGAGCTACTCCTAGAATTATTACGCTATCATTAGGTGTTTCGTCGTGTGCCCTTTTGAGGCTTGGTTGGCGCAAGCCACATGGTAAGATCGGCACGGTTGGGAGCCATGGTGTAAGATTGGCATAGTTATGAGCCATGGTGATAAATCAATAGCTGTCGGGAGCCGCAGAGCAAGTAGGCACGGCTGTGAAAACATAGATGGAGCTAGCTTGGGCCAGCTTGTGCGCAACAAGAGAAATTGGACCACTAGGTCCATAATGCTCGGCTACTGGTGATGTGCTGCTTCAGTATTGAATCGTCTGGAGTGTTAGGAACAAAGTCTACCCCTGATTCTTGGTAATTGGGCTGGTGTGTCATTCTGGTACTCGTTTGCCTCCATTGTGCCATTAGGCTGAGCTGCCACCTTTGTTGGAACATAAATAATCTTTGTATTCGACAATCTATATGGGATAGTCCCGTTTGCTCGATCTTTCATTGAAAGATAACCTGTTTATGTTAGTCATGTCTCATTGGAACGCCTTGTCAGTAGCTTTGTTGCGCTGGAAATCGCGCAATCGCTCGATCACGAGTCTTTTTATTTCTTCTTGAATTTGCCTTTATTAGGGGTAGCGGAGCTCTCAGCTGCCCCCGGTTATGACCTACTGGTCTAGGTTGCTCTTCCATGTGTTCGGCTCGTCTATGCCGCG